GATTCTGGCTTTCTCACAGCATGGTAGTCTCAAGGGAGCAGACTTCTTGCATGGTACCTCAGGTGTCCAAAAGCTAGAGTTCCAGGGGAAGTGCCTGTCCTTTCATGTCCTGGCCACAGAATTCAGAGCATCACTTCCACCATATTCTATTGGTTGAAGCAGTTGCCGACTCACCCGAGATACAAACAGAGGGTACCTATATCCCACCTCATTGTAAGAGAAGCACTAAGGAATATCCAGCCAGGTTTTAAAACTGCTACTGGTTATTTCCAATCTTTTTTTTTTTTTTAAGTTTATTTAGTTAGTTATTTTTGGTTGCACTGGGTCTTCGTTGCTGTGCCAGGGCTTTCTCTAGTTGTGGTGAGTGGAGGCTACTCTTGGTTACGGTGCACAAACTTCTCATTGCAGTGGCTTCTTTTGTGGCAGAGAACAGGCTCCAGGCACCTGGGCTTCAGTAGTTGCAGCATGTGGGTCCAGTAGTTGCCGCTTCCAGGCTCTAGAGCTCGGGCTCAGCAGTTCTGGGGCACAGGCTTAGTTGCTCCGTGGCACACGGCATCTTTCTGGACCAAGGAGCAAACCCATGTCCCCTGCACCGGCAGGTGGATTCCTATCCACTGTACCACCAGGGAAGTCCTGTTTCCAATCTTTTGCTATTCTGGCACTTCCTTTTACCCCCTAACACCTCTGAATCCATTCATTTCTGTGCAAGGAGACATCATCTCTAATATGGAGCCTCCTTTGTTCCCAGGCTTGAGCTTTCTATCCTGTTCTTCCAAGGAGAGTGCAGATCAGAGCACATCCCTCCCCTCTTTGCAACCTTTCCATGGCTCCCTACTACTCTTGGGTTGAAAGCCAAATTCCTTACCTTGGCTTGTGAGGCCTTGGAGGATCTCAGGTCTGCCTGCCTCTCCAGCTTCATCTCCTGTCACAGGGGAGGCCTTCAGTCTTGACTTCCAGGAATTCCTCTTCCTCTCTCACACACACACATGCAATTAAAAGTGTGTAAGTAGTGAATACAAAGCACTTAGAGAAGCCCTTTACACGCCTGGAGCATCATATATTTGCTACTATTAGTCTGTATTCAATACGTGTTTACTGAGCTCCCAGTTCAATGCCAAGTGCCATGTGAGGCTCAGGGATACAATAGTGAGTGAAGAGGAAGTGTCTTCACTTTGCAGAGTTCATGCATCCCTGTGTCCCCCACTTCCAACCCAAGGAAAGACAGACTGGACACTCAGGGCATGAAAGCACATGTGTGCAATGGTGCCTGAAGAAGCTTGGATAGGCATGATGACTTTGGCAAGACCATACAGTAAATGTGGGACAAAGCCAAGGCTGTGGGTGGACACATGACAAGGAATGAGGCTGCCTGGCAAAGGCTGGCTCTCCAGGGAGATGGGCCGGAAGACACACACTGCCCAGGATGGAGCTAGGGGTAAGCTGGGAGAGAGAGCAAGGGAGGATCCTTCCAGAAGAGAAAGCACTTGTCTCCCCCAACACCTCCTCCCCTATACCAGCTCCCTTCTCAAGCTAAGTGGCGCCTATCCTCAGCAAGGGGTAGGGGCTCACAGAGGGAGAGAATGGACAGAAGATGGGGGACTCAGGGAGAGGGTGAGGACTTCAGTCAGACAAGGGGCTTCTGATGCAAGCAGGAGGGAACTTCTTAGTAGGAACCCAGGGGGAGAGAGGTGGGGCTCAACCATGGGTGGGGGCTGGGAGAGCAGCGAGTCTGTGAAGAGGATGGGGCTGTGGCCATGAGATGAGCGAGTGAGGGGTCCCTAAGAGAGATGAAGGGCCAGAGGGAACCGAAGATGCAGTGAGGAAATGTTGGTGTTCAGTTGCTCAGTGGTGTCCTACTCTTTGCGACCCATGGACTGCAGCATGCCGGGCTTCCCTGTCCTTCACCATCTCCGGGAGTTTGCTCAAACTCATGTCTATTGAGCCGGTGATGCCATGCAACCACCTCATCCTCTCTTGTCCCCGTCTCTTCCTGCCTTCAATCTTTCCAGCAGCAGGGTCTTTTCTAATGAGTCAGCTCTTCACATCAGGTGGCCAAAGTATTGGAGCTCTAGCTTCAGCGTTAGTCCTTCCAATGAATATTCAGAGTTGATTTCCTTTACTCCAAGTGAGGAAATGAAGGTTCAGCAGAGTCAAGGGTCTTTAGTCAGAGGGCTGAGAGACTGATGGAGCAGTCAGGGGAGGAGTTTGGGGGGCTGCATGAGAAAGTCGGGTCCAGGGAGGTGGTGGGGTCCCCGCGAGGGGTCTGGGGTCTCAGAGAGAGAAGGGACTTCTTGGAAGGGGAGAGGGGCTCACAGTCCTGCAGGGGTCCGAAATCTGCGGAGCCAGCCCTTGGGGCGGGCTGACGCCCCCGCCACCCCCGTGTCACCCCCGCCCCCCAACTGCGGCGCAGGCGCCAACACAACCCGCTTCTGTTCTGCTTGTGCTCGCGCTCGGCAGAGACCGCGGACCAAGAGGTGAGTTCAGCCCCTCTCCACTCGCGGCCCGACCCCCGCCCCGCCTCCTCCCAAGACCCGGAGAGCCCCCCCCATCCCTGCCAACCCCCAGTTTGGCCGTGTCCCTCCTCGGGCAGAACGGCGGTGCCCCAGTCCTGGTGTGCCTCGGGCTTTGGGAGGTGGGGTCCCAGGGAAGGAGCAGGGGTCAGAGGTCTCACCAACCCCCCAGCCCCGCACCAGCCCCCACGCTCCGAGACCCTTCAGGGTCGATAGGCTGGGCGGAGGCCTCCAGGACAAGACCCCACCCACCTCTCTGCGGAAAACTCATCCCCATCCCTTTCTGCCTCAGTTTCCCTCTAGGAAAAAGGATGCGCTTAAGGAACCTGTGGTCGATTCTGAAACAGTGTGCGCTAGTGGGCGGGGGGAGTTGGCCTGCTCTCCTGGGCCTCGGACCCCCTTCCCCCCTCCCTAGCACCTTCTGGCCAGAGCGACACTGGATGCTGGAGTGAGAGGGTCTGGGGGTCTGGGAAGGAGAACTGAGACCCCATAAAGGCGAGAGACTCCATCCATCTTCTGGCCCCTGCGCCTGTCATCGCTCACCTCCCGGCCGCAGCCTCCATCCCCCAAACCCAGGAGCCCCCTCCTCTTCCCGGAGCTCCTCCCGCTTCCTGCCTAAGGACTGCTCCCCGACGGTTCCTATGGCAACCTAGGTCCAGGGTCCTCAGCATCCTCTCCCTCCCTTCCCCAGACCGCCAGTCCGCCTCCCGGCCACCCTAGAAGGAGAGGGAGGGGCCAGGTCGACGAGCGCGGGGGCAGCGTCAAGGTCACCTTCCTGCTCTGACGCCAGTGGGATCAGGTGATCGTGTGTGTTTGGAGGAAAGGGACAGTGAGATGCAAGGGAGGAGCTAACCCAGGCGTACGAACCCCGCGCCACCCCCCCCCCCCCCAGGCTCCTCCATCAGTGGTCTTTATCTTCTCATCCCCTCCCCCGGGCGGGCCCCGCTCTGGCCACCCCTTTGTAGAGCCCCGCCTCTGCCCGCCTCTCCCCGCCCCCGCCCCTGGGGGCGCCGGCTCACTCCACCGACTTCGGTCGGTCTTCTTTCTCAGTCTTTCGCTTTTGGTCTTGAGCTTTTCCCATTGTCTGTCAATTGCGGGAGAGAGGGCGGGGCGATGTCTTTTACGCTTTTTCTGTTCCCCGCGTGCGTTTTGGGTGAGAGCTGTGGAGAGCTGCGATTTACGGACGAGTTTTAAACCGCACCTCTGTGCCGGTGTGGACCCATAGGATTACCTCCAATACGCGCTGTGTGTGTGTCTGTGTATGGGTGTGTGTGGTGTGTCTCTTTGTGCTGTGGGTCTCTATATGGTCTGCGTGTGGCTGTCCGTGTGTCCCTGAGGTGTTTGTGTGCTTGTGTTGGGGGGGGTGTGTGTGTGCATCTATCTGTGTATGTCTCTGGTGTGTGTGTGTGTATATGTATGTGTGTCTCTGTGGTATCTGTTTGTATGCTGGTGAGTCTCTCTACACAAGGATTTGAGGGCCACAATCTAGAAATGAGAGGGGGCTAGAAATTTGTCTTATCCTTCAGTGTAAGCACATTACTTCAGTTTGTTTGAAGCTGTTCAGAGGGCCTTCGAGCCATTATGGGATGGAGGGGAGCCCAGTCCCTCCCAGCATCCCCCAACCCCTTTGCTTTTAGTCCTAAGGATGCGTGGATACACAAGTACCCTCCATTCCCTAGACCTCAGTGTCTCCACCTGTGAGACGCAAGGTCCTTAGAAAGGTGTGTATAGAAATATGGTCTTGAACCTCAGCCCTGTAGCCTGAGGGCCTCTGATTGTCTCCATCTGTGGAGTCAAGATGTCTTGGGACTTAGAGATTTTTGCCTTCTGAAGGGCAGCCCTGGGGAGGGATCTTTGAGGACCTTGCAGTTTGGGGAGCTCCATCCTGTGGGACAAGTGGCAGCCATGGCAGTTAACCCCCAAAGTACCTTGAAAGGTGGGAAATTAAGGGGAAACATTTGGAGAGGAAATGGAGATGAGGAGCTCTCACTCTAGACATGGGGCTGGAGATGTTCAGGATAAAACAACGAAGACATCGCAGTGATAATCACAGAAGCTATCATTTCTTGGCACTGGACAAATAACTGTATGAAGCAGGTATGTGATCAACTCTGTTTTACAGATGAGGAAACTGAGACTCAGAGAGGTGAAAATACTTGTTGGACGTCACACAGCCAGGACGTGGTGGATCCTGGATTCCAAACCAGCCAGTCAGGCTCCAGAACCCCCAGTCCCAGCCTGGGCTACCTCCAGAGTTAACATGCACATTTATTGCCACCCAGATTGCTGGGTTATGGGCTAAACGTGCAAGGCCTTGGTTCATTCTCACTATACTCAGGGAAAGACAGGCCAGAATTCCAGAAGGGCAGGCTCTGCTAAGAGTGTGAGGTGCCTAAAATGTGTGGAGTGGTAAAAGGAGAACGAAAATTCAGGGGACCTTGGAGAGTCTCCATGGGCAGCCCTCACTGACCCACCCCACAGGGACCCAGGATGCCGAGCTGTGACCGTCCCTGCAGCTGCAGCCGAGGCCCTAATGTGGAAGATGGCAAATGGTATGGGGTCCGCTCCTATCTACACCTCTTCTACGAGGACTGTGCGGGTACCACCCTCAGCGATGACCCTGAGGGGCCCCCCGTACTGTGCCCTCATCAGTCTTGGCCCACACTGTGCTGGAAGGTAAGGTGGGAAGAGGAGCGACTAGTGATTTCCTGTGGTTTCAGGGAGGAAGTGCAACCAGTGGATGGAAAGGAAAGGGACTGTGTAGCAAGTTAGAGTCTTGCATGTTCAGGCAACAGGAAATCCAACTCAAATGAGTTTCAACAATAAAGGTGAAATATTACTTATTTTATAGAAGAGACCAGAGGTTGGGTGTCTTCAGGCAAAGTTCGATCCAGCAGTTCAGACCATCACACTGGAGACTCAAGGTTTCCCTCAGGCTCCCTGTGATACCCTTGCAGCCCCTTAACACAGGCAGCCCCCATGTGTTCTCCAAATGGCTGCTTCCATGATGACCCTCAGTCTCTTACTCCATACCATCTGAAGGAAATCAGAATTTCCTCCTGTATTTCCTTCAGAAAAGAAACAATGCTTTTCACTTGCAGAAGTACTGGGAAGTTTTGCATCAGCTCTGATTGGGTCACTTGCCAAGCCCTGAGCTAATGACTATGGCCAGAGCAATGGTATGTGCTGACTGATAGGAAGAAGGGTTCACCTCATTCAGATCTTCCTGTAGCTTCCCAGTGATATGTTGAGGGACTATTGCCAGGGGAGTGGAAGACATGGGAGAAACTAACAGTCGATGTCCTTAGCAGCCATGGAGAGGGGTCAGTTAGGGAGCACCATCTGGGTAAAGGTATGGAGGTGGCAGTGAGCCAGGTATTTACAATGCTCTTTGACAAATACTGTAGTAAGTTTGAGACAGAGGGTCCCTCCTCTCTGCTTTCCAAAGGCTTCACTCTAGTGGGAAGACGAGGTGCCAACCTGCACAGTGAATGCACAACCTCAGGCCCGGTGTACATAGGAGACCAGGACAGAAAATGTCTTCAGGACCTGGGGTGATCAGGGAAGACTTCCAGGAGAAAGTATATATTTTAAGTTTTTGATCACCTCCTTATTGCTAAGCAGTGTGCTAGGTTTTGGGGGACACAGAATTTAAGACAATGTGGCCCCTGTCTTTGAGGAACTCCTAGTTATGGTTCATTTAGTCATTCTGCAAACATTCCCTTAGCTACTGCTCTGTACGAGCACCGTGCTAGGCACAGAAGACCCCTCGGGAGCCCAAATAGACTGTCTCTGATGTCGTGGCTTTCTCAGTCTGGTATAGCAGGCAGACACCATATACACAGTAACCAAAGTACATGTCCAAGTGTGCATCAAGGTGAGTGCACTGAAGAACAAACGGGCACAGAGTTTGCTTGAGTACAGAGCAGGGCACTTGACCCTGTCCAAGGGTATACTAGAAGGCTACCCTGAAGGGGTGAGGTTTGAGATGCATGCGATCTGAGGGGTGTGTAGAAGTTAACCCAACAGAGGGATAGAGATGGGACAGAGGGATAAGATGGGCCCCAAAGGATTAGGGAGGAGGAATCAAGGCTGGCAGAAGAAATCCACTGATAGGTGGGGGCTTCAAGGGAAATTAGTCCAGAGTCCTCAAGATTCCAAATAGAACATGACAGTTTGTGCCTCTTGTCAGATCCTAGTAGGTGTGTCTATGACCCCGTCTCTTAAGGGGTTACCTTAAAGTCCAATTGGGATCCAAGGTGATCGCTTGGCCTGGGGCCCCAGCTGACTCTGACTACCTCCCAATCTCTCTGCCTCCCTTCAGATCAGCTTATCCTCTGGTGCCCTGCTTCTGCTGCTGGGTATGGCGGCCCTGATCACTGGCTACGCAGTGCCCCCCAAGTTGGAGGGCATCGGAGAGGGCGAGTTCCTGGTGTTGGATCAGCGAGCGGCCGACTACAACCAGGCCCTAGTCACCTGCCGCCTGGCAGGCACAGTGCTCTGCGGGGCAGCTGGAACCCTGCTGGCCATCTGCCTGATCTGGGCCATGACTGGTTGGCTGGGCCAGGACACCAAGGCAGAACCCTTGGATACTGAAGCCGACGGCCACGTGGAGGTCTTCAGGGATGAGCTGGAGCAGCAGTTGTCCCCCATCTTCCATGATGCCAGTGGCCAGTCTTGGTTCTCGCCACCCACCAGCCACTTTGGGCAGTCCTCTGTGCAGACCATCCAGCCCAAGCGGGACTTTTGAGCTGCCCATGCAGCCAGAGGAGGAGCCAAAGCTGGGGTCTAGAGGCTTCCTCCTCCCCACCACAACCCAGCTTCCCACCATATCCCTAACTTATCCCTTTCAGTGGGTCCCTTTCCACTGAAGCCCTTAGAAGACCCAACCCCAAGTCAGAAAGTCTGGACCTCACATCTCTGTGTCCCTTCCCAGGGGTGGGGCCCTAACTCATCCAAGATGCCAGCCTTTCCTGAGTCCCCACAAAACTGCCCACCCATCCCTCCTCTACAAGACCATTCAGAAACAGAAAACATCTCCCTCACCCTGTCCACACTCTTTCCTCTATATGACCTTGGGCAAGTCCCTTAACGTTTCAGACCATCAGTTCCTGCCTCTATACTATGAGCGATGTGGACCAGATTGTAGAGTTCCATAACTTTCTTTTTCTCCCCAGGATATAAGTATTACCTGCCATAGACAAAGATGGGGGAGGGGTAGTAGGGTCCTTCTTACCCACTGACCCCTCCCTCTGTCGGCTGCACCAGGATGCCTTGGGATGAGTCAAAGATGCTCACTAGGACCAAGATGGTGTGAAATTATTGATCCCCTACAGTATGCTTTCTATGCATTTTGCTATCAGAGCCCCTGAGTACACCCCATCCTGAACTAGTCCCAGTTTACAGATAAGGTGGTTGAGAGAGTCTGGCAGTCCACCTACCTGAGTTTGCAGGAACTTGGACCCACGTCTCTAGACTCCTGAGACAGATCTTGTTGTATGGCTGGAGCAGGATGCCACACCTTCCTGGCCATCAGGGGACCCCCCCAGGGGTGGCACAAGTTTGGCCCAAAGAGACTTGTTGTTCAATCACTCAGTCGTGTCCAACTCTGCAACTCCAGGGACTGCAGCACGCCAGGCTTCCCTGTCCTTCACCATCTCCCAGAGCTTGCTCAAACTCATGTCCATTGAGTCAGTGATGCCATCCAGCCATCTCATCCTCTGTCGTCCCCTTCTCCTCCTGCCTTCAGTTTTTCCCAACATCAGGGTCTAGTCTCCCAGAGAGGCTGGCTGATGCCTAATGGTCCCAGGTGGCTCAGAAGATACTGTGGACATGCATTTAAATAGTCTCTAAGAGCCAGAAGACAGGAGAACTGGAATGTCTTTGCCCCTCAGAGCCCACCCACCTAGAAACCATCAGCCACAGGTCCTGACCTCACACTGCAACAAATGTGCCTTCTGAAGGCACTGGTCCATCTCCACAGCCAGATGCAGCATCTATCTCTGTTCCCAACCACTAGGGGGAGCTCCAAGACAGCTGGAGAAAGAGGCCCAAGGCTCATGCCTCCACCATCCCCCCTCAGTCTCACTGGAGTCGGGGTATGGGAGGGTAGGGGGATTTGGGGCAGGCCATCCTGGGAGGGTCCTCAGTCCTCCTCCAGCAGGCAGGCTCTACTGCCTCTCCCCATCTTTCACTCTCCTGCCCCTCCCCCTGCCTTTCAATAAACAGTTGACATGGGTACTGACTTTGCTTCTCTTCTCCCTGACCACCAGGGGCTGGCAAGGGAGAAAGGAGACTTTTATGACACCTACTGTGTGCTGGGTAATTAGGTCCATTCTCATTCGCTCCTCACAGTAATCTTTTGGGAAAGTGGATGATTATCATCATTTTACAGGTGAGATGGGAAATTTCTCAACCAACTTGACAAATTTCTGTCCCCATCTCTGAGAAGGATGGGAGGAAGGGGTTCTGAGAGCCAGAGCTGGAGCTAAAAGTGGGATCTTTTCCAGGAAAATAAATACAGTTAGCCTCTTCTGGCACTCACTGGGGGCCAGGCCCTGTTCTCAGGGCCTTACAGATAGGAGCTCACTGAACCTTCACGACAACCTATGAGGTGCGTCCTAAGTCGCTGCAGTTGTGTCCAGCTCTTTGTGACCCGATGGACTGTAGCCCACCAGGCTCCTCCGTCATGGGATTCTCCAGGCAAGAATACTGGAGTGGGTTGCCATGCCTTCCTCCAAGGGATCTTCCCAACCCAGAGATCGAAACCATCTCTCCCGTCTCCTGCATTGGCAGGTAGGCTGTTTACCACGAGTGCTTATGAGGTGGGTCCCAAGCTGCAGGCTTGGATTTCCACATGAATTCACCTACATGGCGAGTCTCAACTACCCCAAACTGTTCTCCTTGCCACCCCTCCCCCTCCAGACCTGCCCTCCTGTGCCGCCCACACCTGAGGAAAGTGGCGGCTCCAGCCATAACCTTGGAGTCCTCTTGACTCCTGTTTCCACATAGCCTGAATCCAAGCCACCAACAAGTCCTGTCAACTCACCCTTGGAGACACATCCGGTACCTCAGTGTTCCCCATCATCCTCAAGGCCACTTCCCTGGATGGAGCCACTGGGAACTCTCATCTGGATTATTGCCCCTGCCTCTCCCTGGTCTCCCAGCTTCCTTCTTCTCTGTGCCCATACATGTGTGCATGTGCATGCACGCACAGAGTTTAGTCTTTACAGGGCACTCACACAGATCCTGGATGACATAGGCTAGGCAGTGTGCCCTCCCAGCTTGGAATCCTCTCGTGGCTCCCCGTTCACTTGGAGTAAAAGCCAAAATCTTCCGTGTGGCCTGCAAGGCCTGATGCGATTTGCTGACACTCTTCTTGCATTGTCTTCTGTGGCCTCAGCTCCCACCATCCTGTGGGGCCTCAGCTCCCACGTCCTGTCCATTCTCCAGCCAGACCAGCCCCCTGGTTGTTCTTCCAACATCAAGCCCAGCTTCTGGCTAAGCCCTTTGCCTAGCTCTTCCCTGTTGGTGAACTTGGTCAGTCCCTTCACCTCCTTCAAGTCTTTATGCAAATGTAACCTTCTCAGTGAGCCTTCCCTGAGCAGCCTATTTTAAAAGGTGACCATGCCCCCATTCCCTGTTCCCTGTACTTCAGGTGTTTGCTTTCCTATAATATTTATCGCTTTTCAGATACCAGATAATTTTACTTACGTGTTCTAGCATCGTTTGTTACCTGCCTACCCTTGCCACAAGGGCAAGTATCTTTGCTTTGTTTACAGACATGTCCCAATTGCCTACAACAGTGCCTGCCACTTAGTAGATGCTCAACAGAAATGTGTTGAATAGTTCAACCCTAAGTTTATGAATGAGGACTGTGAGGCTTAGAGACGTTAAGCCACTTCTCCAAGGTCACCAAGTAGAGGCAGAGCTGGATTCAAATGCATGCGATTGGCCTGAGGCCGCAGCTTGGGCCCCTGCACTGTGTTGCCCTTTGGTTTGAAGGCTCAGAGTTGGGGGCAGAACATCAAGTGCTCACAAATATATCTGGATGTTTGTTGCTAGGTGGAAGTGTGAACACGGCGTTCAGAGATTTTTTTGTTCCAGAGAAGTTGGGAATCCAAGATTTTATATGAGATGGCATCCATTTTAAACATCCCAGAGTCTACTCAAACTCATGTCCATTGAGTCAGTGATGCCATCCAACCATCTCATCCTCTGTCGTCCCCTTCTTCTCCCGCCTTCAATCTTTCCCAGCATCAGGGTCTTTTCCAATGAGTCAGTTCTTCGCATCAGGTGACCAAAGTATTAGAGTTTCAGCTTCAGCATCAGTCCTTCCAATGAATATTCAGGACTGATTTCCTTTAGGATGGACTGGTTGGATCTCCTTGCAGTCCAAGGGACTCTCAAGAGTCTTCTCCAACACCACAGTTCAAAAGCATAAATTCTTCAGTGCTCAGCTTTCTTTATAGTCCAACTCTCACATCCATACATGACTACTGGAAAAACCATGGCCTTCACTAGACGGACCTTTGTTGGTAAAGTAATGTCTCTGCTTTTTAATATGCTGTCTAGATTGGTCATAACTTTTCTTCCAAGGAGTAAGCTTCTTTTAATTTCATGGCTTCAGTCATTATCTGCAGTTATTTTGGAGTCCAAAAAAGTAAAGTCTGTCACTGTTTCCACTGTTTCCCCATCTATTTGCCATGAAGTGATGGGACTGGATGCCATGATCTTAGTTTTCTGAATGTTGAGCTTTAAGCCAACTTTTTCACTCTCCTCTTTCACTTTCATCAAGAGGCTCTTTGGTTCTTCTTCGTTTTCTGCCATAAGGGTGGTGTCATCTGCATATCCGAGGTTATTGATATTTCTTCTGGCAGTCTTGATTCCAGCTTGTGCTTCATCCAGCCCAGCATTTCTCATGATGTACTCTGCATCTAAGTTAAATAAGCAGGGTGACAATATACAGCCTTGATGTACTCCTTTTCCTATTTGGAACCAGTCTGTTGTTCCATGTCTAGTTCTAACTGTTGCTTCCTGACCTGCATACAAATTTCTCAAGAGGCAGGTCTGGTGGTCTGGTATTCCCATCTCTTCCCACCAGCCTACATGCCTTCTTATCTCTGAGGTGGGAAGACCTGGAAGAGGAAGGGAGGCTGATGGGCACGGTCCAAAGCCCGAGCACCAAAGCCTGAACACCAAATACATCACCACCCAGAGGCTGTCCCTCCCTCCTGCAGGCTTGCATCTCCTCCCTTATTCCTGCTGGGGTGGTGGGGGGGATGTGTGTGTTTATTTCTCAAGTCCAGATTCAAGGGAGCTCCTCTACCTCACCCCTTACTGGATCAAAGAAGGGGTGACCTGGAGATACCGTCTGCCTCTGGGGGGCGCAGTGCCAGGGCAGGGAGCTGAGATGCCCTAGGGTGTGAGAGAGAAACAAAGGATATTCACCCGGGTGGGGAGGTATTAGCAGAGGTGGGGTGAGAGCCTGCTGGGGAGTCCGGGAGCCAGGAATTCAGCAACATTCATGCCCCAGACTCTTCATCCCAAATGAGAGCGGGCTGAGAGTGAGCCAGTCTACTGGGGTTCAAGTCTCTTGTGTGAGCCTGGGCATTTCTTAACCTATCAGTTTCTTTGTCCCTGAAATAGGGACAAAAAGGATACAAATCCCTTGAGATTGTTTGAAGACTTAAGGAGTTTTCAGCCATGCCTGACACCCAGAAGTGCCTAATATTAAGTAAATGCCAGTTA